ACAGGTTGGAAAAAAAGGAGAAAACACACTTTTTCCTTCTATGGATCATCTCCAGTCTTGTCTGGCCTAAGGCAGAGAGAGATGTGCATGACCAACATCTATGTCATTTTATAGTCTCATCTTTCATGCCATTTTCTCATATTTGAAGCCAAACATTTGGAGCCAAAGTCTGATAACCCTGCGAGTCAAGCTCTTATGTCACTGTTGCTTGTGTCCCTATGGGACAGACGACTGGATATTGCTAAGACAGTAGACCTTAAATGTTCTCACCACAAAAGAATGATAGAATGTGATGTAATGTTAATTAGCTTGATTGAGCCATTCCACAATGTATACATCTAACAAAGCATTGTGTTATACACCATAAATAATGCAACTTTTATTAATGAAAAAAATTCAGATGAACTTGGATATGTAATGGCTTCAGAAATGCATAATTGACCCAAACTACAATGTGAAGCATCTTAGGTATCAATCCCGTTGTTTTGGGCCACAATTAACAAAATCCCTGCTAATGAAAATCCATATGTTGAGGAAATACATTAAACAACGAGGAGGAAATGGATCATTTGACATAAAGAATAAGGAAATCAACTGTCTCATGTAAGAAGTTCAGAGGTTAGTTCACTGTCTCTGTGACATAACCAAGGACCTAGGCTCTGTTTAACTCTTAGGTCCACCATCCTCAGTTTATTTGCTTGTCTCTTCAAGGTTCTAAGATGGTATCAGGACTTCTAACCTAACGACACCCAGTTTAAGAAGGAGGAATTCCTGGAAAAAAACTCGATTCCTAAACTGGAGCAGGAAAAACACAAGCTGAGTCTGGCACACTTTATTGTATGTTTATTGTGCAAGGCACTTAACTGTGTAAAATGTGTTCGAAGAGTGATGGGACATGTCAAAAAGACATAGCAACTAGCTTGAAGGGGTTTTCTGTGGCCAAACTTGGGACAATCTGAGCATTAAAATAAAAAAGAATAATAACAAATGATAAACAATTTAATACTATAAAAATCGATAACTCCAAACTGATATTAATTAATTAATTAATTAATGAGGAGAAGATAGAACTTTTCCTTATTGTAGGATGCTAACTAATAAACATCGAAGAAATGATTGAATTAGAAAAATCAGCATTTGGCAACTATCATGGTAATAGTTCAATCAAGAAACATCAATGAATACTAAGAACTAGTGGGTGGAATTTTAATGAGTAATAGAATATTGACATTGTCTCCAAGTACCTCCCCGCAAAATACTTATTAACTACAAAGGGAAAAAGAGTAACTTTACAATGGAAAATGTTGGCAGACACTAGCATAATCAAGTGTTCAAAATGAATATCAATACTAATGAAGCAAATAAAAATCCTGTACCATATGATTAGATGCAATGAAAAGAAAACAGCATCGTATCTGTGGTTTTTCTACTAAAAATGCATAATGAATCTAAATCTAATTATGGGGGAATGTGAGTTGATGGGCATTCAACTCAATAACTGGCATTTAATCTTCTAAGATGTCAAGGTCATGGATATTAAGGAAAAAAATCAAAGAAAACTTCAAATTGAAGACTAAAGAGAAAAGATAACTAAATGGAAAATGTGATCCTGGACTGGATGTTTTTGTTATAAAAGACATTATTGGGACGATTCATGACACTTCTGGATTGCATGATAGAAATGCATCAATGTTTTTGATGGTTGTATTGTGATTATGTAGGAGGATGCCCTTGTTTGTAGGATTTAGACACTAAAATATTCAAGGGTGTTGGGACGTTATGTCAGCAACACCTTCAAATGTTTCTTTGTCCTCTTCTTGTAACTTGTTTCCTACAGAATATCTCTTCATTAAGGAAGAAAAGTTTTCTAAGAGGGTCTCCAATGGATAAACCCATTGGTCTGCGAGGAGTCATATGCTCCTTCTCTAGCTGCAGAGGTGGCCGGGAAAGAGAGTTTATACAATGGGAAGTAGGCTATTCCCACAAGGAGGAAGAAAGTGGGAGGGGAGACTGGCAACATACAAGCAGCCAACAGTGTCAGCACAAGTCTGACAACTTTTTAGACTTGATCTTGGCCATTTCAGAATGCAGTGGTATCAATCAGTAAAGTGAACCAGTCAAGAACCCTCAGTTGTTTGCTCTTTCATGTAGTTGCCAGGATTTGGGGAAACAAAAAATGATAAGATTATCCTTCAAAAGTTTATAGGTGGAGTGTCTAACAAACAATTATAGCACAATTGGCCAGGAGTGGTGCCTCACAACAGTAATCTTATCACTTTGGGAGGCCAAGGTGGGAGGATTGCTTGAGACCAGCCTGAGCAACATAATGAGGCACTGTCTCTAGAAAAGTTAAAAAAAAAAATCACTGTAAGCCAGGGGTGTTATAAGCTCATAGAGAAAGGGCATCTGAAACACTCCAAGGGGAAGGCAAGGCCAGGGAAGTCTTCCTGGAGAGGGAGAGTGGCGGGAATGGCAGTCCCTCTTCCACCTGATTTGGGAATAAAATCATGCAAGAGTTAGCATTTTTAAAGCACACATCCTTCCATTCTGCTATGGAATTTTACTTAGTTATAGTGGTTCCATAGAAAAGACAGCAATTAAGTGCAATGTGGGGAATTACAGGAAAAGAAAACCACCCGAGCAATGACACAGAGGTAGGGAAGCACGGGACACGTCCAGGGACCGGAAAGCGGTGCACGTGGCTTCTGAAAGGGGACCATGAAGGAAGGTGGGTTGGGGCCAGGAAAAGTAAGAAACTTGATTGCAAAGTTTCAGTTTTCTTCTGTATGTGTCACAGGGAGCCCCCGGTAGTTCCTGCGGAGGTTCTGAGTGAGTCAGCTGGAAGCAGTATGTGGAGACAGTGAAAGGGAGACTCTTATTAGTCTGTGCATAAAACATTCTAGATGGGATATGACTTGGGGGATGGAAGGAAAGAGAGGCTGGAGAGAAAGAACCAGACTGAGTAATCCATCGGATACCAACGAGGGCTTGGGTGCTCCAAATGCCATTGATAGACATGAGAAAAGAGTGAACAGATTCTGGGTGGTGCCCTGCGGGGACCGTGGGTGATCATGCCCACCCATGATGGTGTGACCCAGTGGACAAAGTCAATCAGGCAGCATACTGGAATTTCAACAGAGATGAGATTATTTATCTGATAATCTCCCTGTTCAGCCATCTCCACCTCTGCTTAATCTGTTTGAAGTCTCTCTATGGCTCCTCGGATTACTTTTCTCTGTTGCCTTCAAAACTGGAGTGAACTAGCCCTTCCTGCCTCTCATGCCTCAGGGTCACCCTTCTCATGACGCTCTGTGCTCTTGCCATGTCATCTTCTTTCAGTCCTGTCTATGGGTCATGTTCACCACTGTATCCCCAACACCAATAAATAGGTGTTGAATAAACTAGTGTGGCTTCTACCACAGAGCCTTTGCACATGCCATTCATGTATCTATCTTTAATAATTGTCCTTTCCCTCAGAGTCGACCATCCTTTATACCTCTGTTCAAGTATCATGTTCCCAGAGGCACCTCTCTTGATATTCCTGACTAGGTCCAATTTATATGCTTTCTAGTAACATGAATCTCTCTAGTAACATGAATCTTTTATACCATCCACAGTAGCTGTAATTTTACATTGACTTGTGGGAGTATTTGCCTGAGACCATCTACCCCACAGACTGTGAAATCCGCAGGGGCAGGGGTCATTGTTCTTTTTGTGCATGCTATATCCCCTCTATTCAGCATGGGAATTGGAGCTCTGTTGCGCTCAGTGAATATTTGTGGAATAAACGAATGAATGATGAATGAGTGAATACTTCACTGGTGCTTCAGCGAAGGGTCAGAGAAGCAGGCTATGCCTGAGAAGCATCTTATGCCATGAATAGAATTTCAAGACAGAGTTGGCCATCAGGTCACCAGTCCATAAGCAGCAACAGCACTGGGGAGGGCTGGATCAAAGATCGGGAAATATAATTTCAGGGAAACAAAGGGTTCTAGGGCTAAAAAGACAATAAACCAAGTATAGGAAAGATTCAACTATCAGGGTGAGGACTTGGTTGCTAACTTGATAGGCAATGGGGAGCCAGGGGGGGTGGTGGTTGAAGGAAATGACCCCCTCAAAGCTTATCTTTGGGAAGGGGGCCATGACAGGTTAACCAAGGATGACTGGAGAGAGGAGCTGAAGCAGAAAGCCACCACCTTGGGAGGAGATAGCAGTTGCTTTGGGTAAACTTGTAAAGACACGAAAGGGGTATTGGAGGTAGGAGATAGTGAGAGCAAAATTGGAATGATGAAATTAAAGTAACTTGGCAGCAGACGGGGAAGTCTAAGAAAGAAAATCACTGATGACTGAACTGTGAGCTCCTAGGAATGATGTCTTTTTCATCCTTCTATCCCAAGTAGAAAAAGACATGTTTTTCTTAGAAATTGTGAGAAGGAAATTAGTTTGAGGGCTGAAAATGCTCAGAAAGATCATAAAAGGGAGACTAAATCTGGTCCAAAGACCTATTCTGTTTGACTCATTATCAAGTTGGCAACTTTAAAAATTGAGATTACTTATAAAAATCTCATAATTTAAAAAATCTGCCATATTGGTCACCACGTCCCATGTGACACCCATTGGTGGACTGGGTGGCCCGGTTTGGTGGTTCCCCAACATTGGTCTTATTCCCCAAAGGGTTCACGCATTACTTGCCTGGGCTCTGAAGGCACCTGAGGTAGGTCTCTGGCTAAAGAGAAGCTCATCAGTTCTCAGGAGGTCACTTTTTGGTGCACCATGATACATGACCCATATGTTACATCAGGGATTTGGGAGTATCTGGAATAAGGGGGATGGGAGGTGGGGTTCTGTCCTGAGGGCCTGCACGCCCAGTGGACGTCTGATGAGACACATTGAAGAAGCTCATCAACATTTTACAGTATTTTCTGCCAGCACTAAGATTCAGGGTCATTCAGGTCATGTTGCAAAATCACTGTCATGGTGTAAATAATTACATAAGGGTGTATGTGGAATTCACAAAACTTTTATTGATATGTTTATCATGCCAAAAAAGTTGTTTATTTAAAATTCAAATTCCACTTGAAAAAGAGGCAACAAGCGATAGTTAGGATCCCAGCCTGCTCTTGGAGGAGCTCCCATGTCCACAGAAAAGCAAGCACGCACGTTCTACAGCTATGTGATTGGATCACTCAGAATTGCATCCTGGGAAATTCCTCCTAGAGCTCCCTTGCAGGAGGTCATTGGTGCCATTGATTGGTTGTAGCTGGGAAACAACGACAAAAACAAGAGCTCCATCCTAAGACTTCTTAAAACATTTCTGGTTTCGAAACTACTGACCTTCAAGGATCTACCACCACCCAACCTAGAAAATATGCATATATATTTCCACTGGGAAAAAATAAAAGCACTGTTTACATTGTTGCTGGCTGTCACATCAGACCCTTAGGATGGCCTCAGAACCTGGCTTTCCTGGTGGGATCCTGGGGATTTTGGTTGTGGGTGGGCAGCCCTTCAGGAGCGTTTGGACTTGCTGCAAGTTGGGCACAGAAGCTGCCCCTTGGTGACAATGTACGCTCGGCCACTGAGCAGCTGCTCACAGCCTTCACAGACAAAGTGCTTTCGGTGCCAGGCCAGGTCTTCCACACGCTGGTAGTCCTCAGAGAATATTATCTGTGGAGGGGAGCAGAAGAAATGCATGACTCAGGTTCTGTCCCTAGGAAGAGGATGGTGGTTCATCCCATCTCATTCTTGTTTTAACTTTTAAATGACTCAGCGGTGGCTCATGCCTGTAATCCCAGCACTGTGAGAGGCAAGGCAGAAAGATCACTTGAACCCAGGAGTTCAAGACCAGCCTGGGCAACATAGCAAGACTCTATAAAACACAACAACTGCAAAATTTTATATAAAAAAATTAAATAAATGCCTCAGTGGAAAAATCTGACATAAATTTGAGGCAGTAAGTATAGTATTTGGTGAGGGTCATGGTTGCAGTTTAACTTCTCAGAAGGAAAAAGAAAAATATCTCCACCATAGGCAGATTTTGCTTATCCAGCATCTATGATCTTGGTCATAGGTGGGAGCTAGAAGCAGCTCTATTTTACTGATGGGCAATGGAAGCTGAGAGCTGCAGTAAGGCCAGTCCTCAGTTCCTATCTGTAGAACACATCACCAACAAAGTCACACTCCTGTTGGCCACTGGCAGTGTAGCAGGGAGGGTGCCCCCCTCCCACCCAGCCCACCTCACGAGGCTCCCACCTCATCGCAGCCAGAGCACCGGGGCCGCAGGCTCTCGCAGTAATGGCGGCCGCACCAGGGCGCACCGTTCTTCCAGAAGTAGATGAGGTCCACCAGCGGCTCGGAGCACTTGACACACACAAAGCAGGTGGGATGCCACTGCTTGTTGTAGCCCGCCCTGTCCGAGTAGACCACGGGGCTGTCAGTAGGGGCCACTCCCTTGCAGAGCTCACAGACCTGGAAGGATGGGGTGGTGGGGGTAGGGGGAGGGAAGGACAAAAGATACAAAGAAGTCAGGAGAGCACAGTAACACGAGTTCAAATCCCAGCTTCAGCCTCTCGACTTCTGGGTCACTATTCCTCTCTGTTACTCAGTTTTGTCATCTGCAAAGTGGAATGATAATAATGCCTACATGATAGGCATTTTGGGAGGACTAAATAAAGCTATTCATTTAGCACGGTAATTTTGTAAATTTTTTAATCTCTAGACCCTTTATACTCTTAAAAATTATTGAGACCCCCCCCACAAGCTTTTGTTCATGTGGGTAATAGCTATTGTTATTGACCATAAGAGAAATTAAAACTGAGAGAAATTTAAATACGTATTTATTTATTCATGTAAAATAATACTAAGCCTATAATACATTAACCACATATTTGCGTGTTTTGTTGTGTATGTATATTATTTTTGACTAAAAATAACTATATTCTCTAAAACAAAATTAACGAGAAGAAAGTTTTAAGTCTTTGTTTTAAATTTTTGCAAATCTCTTTAATGATTCACTTAAGATGGTTGGATGCCCAGGGCTGCTTCTGCATCTGTCTTTCATGTTATGCTGTTTTGGTTGAAATGCATAAGGAAAATCTGGCCTCACACTGATATAAAGTTGGAAAAGGAAGGGGAGGGGCATTCTAAAAACTTTTCCTGATAACTGGATAATCTCCATTGATACCACATCCAACTTTGACAGTGGCAGTTTCTCAGGTTGGTTGCAGTGTGAAATCTGAAGGCATCAATGAACCTCTCATACTTGGTTACATTAAGACCTGCTGGCCCCCTCTCTACTTGGAGTGGATCTTTCACCCAGGCATGATTGTTTTTTGATAAGAATTTTCTTTACATTGAGTAGTTTTATGTTCCAGAAAAAACGCAAAAATAGTACAGAGAATTGTTGTATATTCCACACAGTTTTTCTCTGTTCTTAGCATCTTGCATTACTGTGGTATATTTGTCACAATTAATTAACAAATACTGACATGTCATTATTAATAGAAGTCCAACTTTATTCAGATACTCATCACTTTTCCTTAATGTTCTTTTTCTATAGTAGGATCCCATCCAGGAGTTGCATTACATTTAGCTGTCATGTCTACTTGGACTCCTCTCGGCTGTGACAGTTTCTCAGACTTTGATTTGGCAGCCACGAAAGCTTTGAAGAGTATTGACCAAGTATTTTGTAGAATGTCCCTCAACTGGAGTTTGTCTGATGTTATTATTGAGATTACATGGGGAGGAAGATTGCAGAGGCAAACTGATATTCTCCTTACATCCTATCCAGGGTACATAGTATCACCATGATGTGTCACTCTTTGGGCTGCTCTACTCTGGTGTTTGTCAGATTCTCCACTGTAAGGTGACTCCTTTTCCCCCATTCCATACTGTCCTATTTGGAAGGAAGTCGCTATGCATTTAGCATGTCAAGTCTGCTCCACTCCCTCAAGGCTGAATTTACCTACTTAAATTATTTGGAACCCTTGCATGATTTCAATTTCACAGATTCCCCCAAAGGACTTTGAGAACCACGGACTGGTGCATAGTCTAGACTCAGTAAACATGAGCTACCATTGTTTCTGGAAGTCTGTGTGATCAGCTGACTTGTGTCTGTCTCCTCCACTATGTGATCAATTGCAGAGGGCAGAGAAAGGCTACTTGGTCGCTGCTTCTACCCAGGAACCTCTATGGGGCCCAGTACACACAAACTCCCCATCAGTAGTTGCTGATGAGAGGAGTGTTTCATCCTGTCACGGTGCCTTTGTGCTTGTTGTTCAGGATGCTTGGTACATTGTTCTTACTTCTGTTTGCCTGGTTAACTCCCTTTCATTCTTCAAATCTCGGACTTAAATATCTTTTGTTCTGGGAAAACTTCTCTGACCCCACTCCAGAGGCAATCAAACCCGTGTTAAAGCGTCTCCTCATCTCTCTCTTTGTACAGTTGTTTGATGTGTACTCTCCATGCTGGATGGAAGCACCCTAGAAGCAGGAGCCGCATGTGATTATGCTTGCCTTCACATACACCCAGTACCTGCCTGGAATATGGCAGATGACCCGTGAATGTTTGGAGGCCTCCTCTGCCCTCCAGCCTCATACTTCCTACCTAGGCGACAACAGGTGAGTGTGGAGTGTGGGAATCGCTAGCGGATGGTGCACATGCCTGCATCTCAGCTCTTGGGAACTTTTGGGTACACTCTTGCCTTTCAGTGAAGTTTACTGAGTACTTGCTATATGCCAGGCCCTGGGCTAGGTGCTGCGGATACAGCAGTAACTCAGATGGATATAGCCCGAGCCCTTAGGGAAACTATTGGGGTAGGGGGTGGCAGACAATAAATATGTAAACAAACAGATGAGATAACCACAGAATGTGATAAGTACTGTGAGCACAATCACAGGGCAAGGGAATGGAGAGTGGGAGACCTGGGGGTGGGTGGCAGTGGCCATTTCAGCAGGAGAGGCTTCTCCAAGAGATGAGAGGTTAGGAGTCAGCCACATCCCTACTTGATCCTCACAGCAATCCTCTGGGTGAGGCAGGTACACAAGGAATACAGTCATTTTATAGATGAGAAAAGTGAGGCTCAGTGAGACAAAATAGCATGTTCAGGGGCACATCCAAGAAACAGAGCTGGGATTCAAATTTTGGCCCATGGATTCTACGGGAACTGAGCTAGATCTGGTGGGGAAGCGGAAGTCAGAGAATTGTCTGAAGAGCTGGGAGGGCCCCCGGCAGAGGGCCCTCTGGCATGGCAAAGGGGCAGCATGCCCAATGGCTAGAGTTGGAAACAGCTTCCCCAGGGAACCTCTCAGCAGTTGATGCAGCCAACCTCTGGCTGTCTCCAGTCTTCTTTCCATCTGGGTCTTTCTTATCTGTTGTTTACTACCAGTGACATTCTCACCGACCGGCTCAGGGACCACAACAAGGTGGAACTCAAGTCATGTCATTCCTTCACTTTAGTTCCAAAAAGGACTACATGGAAAGAGTGAGCATGCCTGGGAGAACCGAATTGTAACAGCTCAAGAGTTCTCTCTTCTGCAGAAAGAGTATCTACATGTTCATTCATTCATTCAGGTATTATCTGTCACATTTTTATAATCTGCCCATTCTCATTCTCTAAAGAATGAAAACTTGACATTCTCTATCTATAAAACATTTTGAGCCTGTGGGTTCGAGACCTGCCTGGGAAACTTGGCGAGACCTCATCTCTACAATAAAATAAAAAAAATTAGCGCGCGCCTGTAGTTCCGGCTACTTGGAAGGCTGAGGCAGAAGGATCGCCAGAGTCCAGCAAGTTGAGGCTGCAGTGGCCGGGAGCAGCCACTGCACTCCAGTCTGGGTGACAGAGTGAGACTCTAACTCAAAAAACAAACAAACAAAAACATTCTGGGCTAATTTGGAGTTATCCCCTGCTCCTCTAATCTCCAAGGAAGAAGAAGAAGGTGATGATGATGTGTCATGTCCTTAGGATGTCTTATTACTAATGCCCCTTACCCAAACCTGAGTGTTATTTCCCCTTCTTGAACTATTTCTCTGTTAGGAAAATCATTAATTTCTCTTCTCGAGATAGCAAAATTGAGGTTCAGAGAGATTCAGTGATTTGCTCCATAACACACGGCTGATGGGAGACAAAGCAAGGATTTGAACAAAGGCCAATCTGACTCTAAAGTCAAAGTTCTTTCTCCTATCTCTTGTGGCCTTGAGATTCAGCATCAGCAAATTACAGCCGTGGCCAAACCTGGCCACTGCCCGTTCTTACAAGACCCATGGGAATAAAAAATTGATTTTAAATTTGCCCCTATTTTTTAGGAGAAGTGTGTTCTCCTAAAAAATAATTTCACTTTCTCCTTAGTAGACCCATACTAAAACAAAAAACAAACAAACAAAAACCTCCTGTGCTAAATTATCATTATATTCTGAATTTCATCAATGAAAACCTCATGGAAATCTATTTTCTCTCTTGTTAGATAAAGTGCTTTCATGCTAATCCTTGATTTTGACTCTTGGTTCACAACTCCTAAAATATTTACCACCTGGCCCTCTGCAGAAAATGTTTTTTGACCCAGGCTTTAGATGATAATTTAAACTTACCAAACACCAAATATGAGTCAGCCAAAACAAAAATATTATTGCTTTTCCATGTAAAGATGGGGAAGCAGATGTTGAGAGTCTGAACACTGACTAGTCTTAACTTATATACTCTACATACTTAATACGCTCTTGTGTATTGAAGAGGAAATAAAAAATAGTGAAAATCAGGAAAATAAAACCAAATGGCAAAGAATGTCCATGTGCTGATAATTTCCGAGCATCATAGTTGTTGAATGAATGTCTATATAAGGAATATGTTTGGATAAGTATATATCTTGACTGGATCTTGACTGGCTGATAATGTTCCTCAGAACTTGCTAGATTTGTGGTTTCAGTTACTCCCACAAGAATGAATGGAGTGTGTCTTCCACCAAAATCAAAGGTTTGTTCTCTTCACATAACTGAGTCTCAGCCTGCCTGGAGCTCATCAGAAGGTCAAAACCAAAAACAAGTGATGAATCAACATCCATTTATTTTCACCATCCCTTCAGTGTAGCTGGGAATTGCAAACTATTTGGCCAGGGCTGTTTGAGTACAAAATGAGTTTTCTGGCTGTTTGGCTTCTAAGTTTTACAAAATGCAATCTCTAGTCATTTCCCACTCACGCAGAAGGGACTTACTGTTGATCCACCAAACTACACCCAGTTGGCTACCACCCATGATATATTAGCAACTCCCAACTATAAATTCCCAGATGTTGCTTAACATAGAAGCATCATCTCCTTCTGATGATCCATAGAAGAAAATAGAGGGCTATAAGTTTAGAAAGGCAATTTGGGGTGAACATGGGTGACTCCGAGCCCAGGTTATGCGTTGAAACTTCACTCTGGAGGCAATAGAGAGCCGTTACTGGTGAAGAGTATAGTGTTCTGATCTGGGG